GGGATAAAAGCAGATGGTCCCCAAGTATGGCATCAAGCAAACATGTTGATGGCTACCCGGGAATCTAAACAAGGAATGCAGCAAAGACCTGTTAATGATAATCGCTCAAGGTTAAGTAGTGACTCCCATGGATTCAGGTATGAGTTATCAAATATGTATTGTGACTATTTAATATCTTTTTCTTCAATATTTATTAAGGTGCCACTAGACATGTATGTATATTTATATATTTGTTTGCTTATTAGAGTGCTGCGTGAGAAATGTAAGGTACTTTGGCCCCTGCTTGGAACTTTTAACTTCTATTTGCTCTTGAAAAATACTCTAATCGTCTCTCCATCCTCCCTCATCAGCATTATCTTCTTAAAACATCCTACCTCTTTCAGCTTCAAGTCTAATGAATTTTGTATGCAACATACCTTATCAATGTGTTGCTGTCATGATAATAATCGGGCATATATCTTAACAGTAAAAATATTTGCTTCGGCAATCCAATAACTCTTCCTTCATTAGTTGTCTCTGATCAAATGAAAAGAAAAAATCCTACATATTCTCCCATATGAAATACGCTGCCTGCCGAGTTCACAAACTTGGTTTCTTGCTTCTGCATTGTACCCTACATTCATGTTGGGCCTTCATTCCTCTGATTTTCTTTCTGTTAATTGGTATTCTTGATATTATAAAATAATTTAAAGGGTATTGTAGAAAAAAAGAGAGGAATAAATTTTTTATTCCACTTTCAGAAAATTATATGCTTTTCTGGAAATATTTTTTGTGGGTAAGATTTAAAGCAAATATGAGATAGGAAGGAGTAGATGTAGAAGTTCCAGCACATGTTTCGCTGTTTACCAAATACGTTGATATTTCAAGCCTTTTAATGAGAGGCCTATAGGATAGAGGACGATTGTCAATGAAAGAGAAAGATATACTCTGCAGTTTCTTGGTCAAATACCTTTTTGTCTCTTCTAATCTGTAACCTGATAGTGGCTTCTTCAAGTGTTTGCTCTTTTGATTCCTGTTTTTGGGGAAAATTTAAATCAAAGGTAACCTTCACTACCATGAGTATTAGGTTTTCCTGATTGCAGTTTCCTTTGTGTTTATACAAATAGATCGGCATTCAATAGATAGATTGTAAAAGTTATGAGTTGCATATCTTTGTGCATTATTGGTTAGATTTTTTAGTTCTTTCATATTTACTCTGTTCTCTATAATTTTTCTCATCTTGCACATTGTCAATGTTATATGGGCTAGCCTTGACGATCATGTTTAGGAAAACTTCTCAGTGAAGAATATTAAAATTCAAGATTCAAGTCATATATGTTTATTTACGCTGCAATGCATAAAACCATACTATTTGAGTTTTTTGACAGTAAAAACTGAATAATTTTAAATTTGTAGTTTCCTTCGAGTATCACACCTGATACGTCAAATTGTATACAAGGGCTTTTTCCTGTGAGCGTGAAGTAAACTCTTCTTGAATCAGTAACCAAATTTATGCATTAAGGAGCTTCGCGGTTTTTCATTTGTCTTAAATTCTTTGAATTTAATAACTGAACATCTTTCATAAATTTTTTCTGTGGTTATGTTTCAAAATCTTCTACTATAAGTTGGAAATGTGCACTCAATGTAGGTTTGCAGTTGCTAACGGAACTGTTGGAGTTGGGAAATCAGATGGTATCTTGCAACAGACAGGTTTGACTGTGCGTTCCTCCAACCCTAGGGCAGATATGGACAACAGTTCCCTTCTCAGTGATAAGAGAGATTGTCCTGGTGGTTCAGAAAAGGAAAGAGGTCACCTCAGGGCTGTTAATAAGTATGCATACAATCGAGAAGCACAAACCATATTTGTTATTTAATCTTTGGACATCTTTTTCTCTCAATTTTAGATATTTGTTGTTCTGAAGAATACCTTTCTTGTCTATAATTGAAAAAGAAAAAAGAATACCTTTCACGTTTCCTTTTATAGAGGCTTATTGACAATATTTTGATCAGAATATTTTTAGTGCATCCTTGTTTCCAGCTGTTTTTATAATTTTTATCCAATCATGCATTTCACACGTTGTTTTCTTCACTGTGCATTGATCAGGGCAAATGTTCGTGATGAATTTAATTCTGCTAGTCCTACTTCTAACACAAAACTGAATGCATCTGTTCGGGGTCCAAGATCAGGTTCAGGTGTTGCACCTAAGCTCTCTCCAATTCTCCATAGAGCAACTGCTCCTGGTGATTGGGAGATTTCTAATTGCACAAACAAGCCACCTGCTGCTGGTGGAGTTAGTAACCGCAAGCGTACAGCATCAAATAGATCTTCATCACCACCTGTTGCCCACTGGGCTAGTCAAAGACCACAGAAGATCTCCCGTATTGCTAGAAGAACAAATTTTGTTCCTATAGTTTCAAGTCATGATGAATCTCATTCCGTGGATACTGTATCTGATGCTGCTGGCAATGACCTTGGATTGGGATTTCCAAAACGTTTGGCTGGGAATTCTCCTCAACAAGTTAAACTAAAAGGCGATACCTTCTCTTCAGCAACATTATCTGAAAGTGAAGAGTCTGGAGCTGCTGAAATTAAATCCAAAGATAAAGGTAAAAAGTCTGATGATATAGATGAGAAAGCTGTTCATAACATTCAAAAGATGTCCACTCTGGTTCTTCCATCAAGAAAGAATAAACTGGCTGCTGGGGAAGAGCTTGGAGATGGTGTGCGCAGGCAAGGGAGGACAGGGCGTGGTTTCACCTCCACAAGGTCTCTCATGCCAATGACTGTTGATAAGCTTGGTAATGTTGGAACAGCGAAACAACTTCGTAGCATGAGGCTTGGTTTTGATAAGACAGAAAGGTTAATCATCTTATCCTAGCATTTATCTTCTGTATCACTTCATTGGAAACTCATGTTTTCATCGTATTGTTTTACTCAGCAAGGCAGGTCGTCCTCCAACTAGGAAACTTTCTGACCGCAAGGCTTATACTCGTGTAAAGCATGCAGCAGCAAATGCAACCATGGACTTTCTTGGTAGTTCTTGTTAAATATAACTTTTTTGAAACCCTGGTTGTGGCTTGCCTCTTAAAATTTGGTTCTCTTTTTTCAGTTGGTTCAGCTGATGGGCATGAAGAGCTACTGGCTGCTGTGAGTGCCATCATCAGTGCAGGTAATATTATCACTGGATATCTTGTTATTATTTCGATGACTAAATTTTGCATTTGGTGGATTAATTAAGCTTTCATCATTGCAGCTCATGCCTTTTCCAGCCCATTTTGGAGACGTATGGAACCATATTTTGGCCTCATATCTGATGTAGACATAACATTTTTGAAGCAACAGGTCATCTATTTTGGTTTTCAGTAATATCAGATATTATTATGTTAACCTCTATACTTCACCCATTCCTCTTTCTCCCTCGCTCCCTCTCTCTCTCTTTCTCTCTCTCTCAAGAAAAGTTATTTTGGCCAAGCTTTGTGTGGTGAGAAGGTATGCAACACTTAGATTCTCCAGTATTTATGGATTAAGATTTATCTCAAAAAAATTTTATGGACAATGATTGTGTTTTCCTGGCTGCTAAAACTGTTTAAAGAGATCCTTGATTTTGGCTAAGGAACGGATAGGTCTCTGATGCCTGTGGTAATTATGCTTAATTACCTGAAATTTTACCAAAGAAATTTAGTTTTTTCTTTTTAATAGGAAAGAAGAGGAGAAAAGGAGATAATCAAGGCCAGTTTATTATAGGATATCATATCCATGTCTATTATAGGTCATTAATGCTTGTCTATGAGTTGCTAGACCTGTGTTGATATTCTTGGAATTGAGACAAGGACCAAGTTTATTGATAAATGGAACTATTCCTCCAAAACTTGGTGTGGGATAATTTTCCCTAATACTCTTCATCTTTTACAAAATTTTCAGGGAAGTCCTGAATATACTGCACCAGTGCCAAAGCCTATTCACTCAAATATAGCTGGTTGTGGTAGTGTCCCTAATGGATATGAGCATGAAGCGGACATGGGGCTTGTCACCGAAGAAGGGAGTGGTGAACTGCTTACAGAAGAGTTATTACCCAGCAGAGGAGATCCTAATGCAGTTTCCCTTTATCAGAGATTTCTTGCAGCTTTAATTCCACAGGAAGATTGTAGTTGTGGAAGCGACGATGTCAAATATGATGGTTATGGAACTGGCTTTGAGCTGGATCCAGTAATTGAATCTAATGGTTCAAACCATATAGTTGATTTTGAGTCTGCTAGGCACACCACTTTTAATGGTTATAGGACGACTGGGAGAATGGATGACGAGGAATCTGAAATTGATGAATTAGGAATTCCAAACAAAGGAATTAATTCAAATGGCATGTTTTCAAACCAGGCATTGGTACCTTCAGTAGTTTCTTCAGAACTTCAGTATGACACTATGCAGATAAATGAGAAAATTTTTCTTGAGGCTCAAAGCATTGGAATTTTCTTAGAACCAATGGTATGCTAACCTTTTGGATATCCTTGTGCTGGCCATCTCTCTTTTTATTTTCCTATATTTGCTATCGAGTTTGTTAAATGGTACATGGAGACTTAGAGTCTTCTCTCCTTGTCACTTTCTTTTATTTCTGTTTCTCCTTTTCACATTTTCCCTGTTATCTGAAGAAGAGTTTTGGGGGAAGGTGTAGCTCAGTATGATTCTCTCTGTCCTTGAGATTGTTTCCCCCGATCTGTTGAAATGTTTTGATTTTTTTAATTCCTTTTTCTGCAGTCTGATATAATGCAGACAGAGGATGAAGCAATCAGTGAGGACATCTGTAAACTAGAGGAGAAGTACCATGAACAGGTATTCTGACAGCAAGATGACAGCCTCTTTGAAAACATGAAATCAAAGATTTTCTTTCTTTAGCATGTTAATTTTGATTCCTTAACTCACTTATGGTTCTCATGGAATTTTCTGTAAATTTAATCCATTTCAAGAAAAAGTTGTATTTTTTGCTTTAGGATGAAGTAAATTCTGTTCAGATGGAGTATCCTCTTATGGGTTTGTTTGTTTATTTAACAGGTCTACAAGAAGAATGGCTTAATAAACACTTTATTAGTTCGTGCTTTAGAATTGAAAGATATTCAAGAGAAGTAATGAACCCACTTTAGTTTTTAAAAAAATTAGTACCTGAATCTTTTTTCCCTAGACCATGGTGTTAACATATGCATTCTGTTTCTGTAGGGAGTTTGATCAACGTGCTTATGACAAACTTGTTAGCATGGCTTATGAAAAGTATATGGTAAGTTCCTTATTGTTCAGTTATCCTCTCTCTTTATTAGGATTTCAAATTGATAATTATATGATGCATAAGGAGTCCTATCCCTGATGTGGCATGTGAAATGGGTAAAAGAGTGGATGGAGATAAGGGTTTGGGTATGGGTCTGGGTATGGGTATGGGTATGGATACGGGTATGGGTATGGGTATGGATACGGGTAATATAAACTTTATCCACACGGGCATGGAGCATATTTGTGGCAAAGAATTTTTATGCATATGGTGAAAATAAATATTTAAAATACCCTTAATATATTACATATATTTTTTGGGATAATATTTATGTTTTAAGTTTGGATTTAGATGTTTTTGTTAAATTTTAGGTTTTCCTCTGTTTAACTTGTATTTTAGGTTGTTTAAGGAGAAAATAATTTAGATAATTTATATTTGCTTAATAATTTAATGCTTATAAGTGGGGTGAGACCGGTGATGGGTTTTACTCCCTTATAACCAGTCTTGAGTATGGGAAAGGTTATTATTGGGTTGGTGGGATGGGTGTGGTGGATGGGTTGCCTATACTCATCCAGCTGCTGTCTCGTAGTCATGCACATTATAGCCAAGTACTGTTACCAGAAGTATGCAGGCGTGGTCTCTTTAAGGTATATTTTATGGGGGATTGTTGTGGAAGTAGGTTTGAGAGTGGGTGAGGATAACAAAGAGAGGGACTAGGACAAGTAAACAGAAGACAAAAGTCAGAGAATAACTTGAAGAGATTGTTAACAAAGAGAGGGAATGGAGTTGGTCTCTTTGACTTGTGAGCCATCTCATATGCTTTAAATCCTTTTTGAAGAGATTCTTAACCTTGGATAAGTTGACGGGGAGGGGAAGAATATTTGTAAATAAATAGCTGCTACTTGTGCATTGCTGCGCAAAAGAGATTCATAGTCATGTAATCATATCTTGTTGTGGTGTCCTCTTGCCTTATCATTTGTGGACCTTAGCCTATAGTCTGTTCGGTATCAATTGGGTGATGACTAATTTTATGAAAGATGAGACTAGGGTGTGGAATGGAGCCTTAGGGATAAGAGGTCTTCAAGTCTTATTCCTTTGGCTATAATTTAGGTTATCTGGAAGGAAAGAAATATGAGAGTTTTTGAAAGGACTGAATCTGATTTTGGTAAATTCAAAAGCAGTTGGTTCCAGACTCGAAGGTTTTTTAATTAGGGGTCATTCTCTTTACTCTTGTGAGGATCTTGGGAGCCTTATAGGTTTTATACTTGATATGTAAATTCGTGTGCGGGCTGTATCCCTGTGATGCTTGTGAATAGATGATATTTTTCTCTCCAGAAAAAAATTAGTTACTATAAGGCAATACTTCCATATTTTTGGCTCGTGAGGGAATGGAGTTGTTATAAATTTAGAGCTTTCTCTTCTCTCTAAAAGAAATAAAGAAGGCCAAATTGTGTTCACAGCCATGTTGGAAACAGCCTATGACATATTGAGGAGTCTCAAACCAGAACCCACAACTTTCTATGCTTCAAGCCCGAAAGCAGGTGGTTGGGGGATTCCCACTCTTAAGGCACAAAGGACAGCCATTGACAACAATTTTCCTCCTTGGTAGATATTTGCTATTTGATGATCTGGATTATGGTAAGCATCAACAAAGCCATTTGCCTTGGGCCATTGGTCGTAACTTTAGATTAGGGCTGTTTGAGAATAAGAGGTCAAGTGACAGTTTTTATAGGGTTTATTCCAAAGAATTGAGGGAGGTAGTGGATAGGCTTAAATTCTTGGATTTGCCTTTTGCTTGGGAGCACCTAGACCTGGTTCGACTTAGGGCAAAACCTCTTCTTTCTTGCATTGACTGATTTTCAGTGTTTATAGAGTTCGAAGACTTGGCGTCAGACCTACTTCAAAAGATCCTTTTCCGTGTAACTTCATATCATTACATTTGTGTTTGAATCTATATGGAACCAGAAGGGGCCCTTCACCATTGTTGTCAAGGTGGTGCCACCCATTTACAAAGTATTTATAAGTCAGTTAATAAATCAATGACATTCCCAAATCCTCCCACCTATAGATGTCATGATTCAAAATTAAAGACCCAAGAACATGTTTTCTCCTATCTCTAATTCTGGCCATTTCCCTTTCACACCCTTCAAATGCTCTATTGTTCATCTCTTTCCACACTATCCTAAAGAAGTTAAAAGAAGTAAGATCTAAAAATTTCTTTTTTATGCAAATCTCATCCCAAGCCCATAGGTCATCTTTGGCTATACCCACAATAACCCAGTAAATCTCCAGCAGACCGTATACCATAGTTCAAATGTTATATGCCACCGGACACCAAAGAAGAGTGTAATTGTAAGATTCAGCAGCTTTCTTGCACATATAACAACCATTCTCGTTTTAGAACAAGTAGTTTAAGGTGTGGGGTTTTGGTGAGGGGTGAGAGGAGGATGTTGGATCCTTAGACATTCCCATTTAGCAGATTGAAGATTGTAAGGATGAAGAAAGTGATTGCAAGAGAGGGGAGTCTAAGGAAAAATGAAGAACAGTGAGTTTTAGAGAGGAAAAGAAAGGAGAAGTACTACATTTCTTATTCTCTTCCATTTTTCATTGTAAATTTTGAGATGATGATTAGACTTATCATTCCTGCAGTATGTATCATGCTATCTGAGAAAACAAGAGGAAAAGAACAGAAGAAACAGAATGTGGAAACTGCATGTAATAATAAAAAGATAAGGAATATGAACCACCAAATTTAAAAATTCCAAACCAATAAACCAGGTATCTCCTCTGTTAATACCTCAAGGTTCCCGCTGACACCTGAGGCACTTACTGTCATGACTGGTCCCGACAGAGGCGGGTTTTGAAGGTTACACTTGCTATAAAGTGGTGTGAAAGATTGTTCTTGTAATGAATTTAATCACAGTATAGAAACTGTTATGCTTGGCATAAAGCTAAAATTAAAAAAAGGATTTGACAAAAGGAGATTGGTGAGTTAGACAAAAAAAAAAAAGTTGCATGCTGCCTTTTGAATACTTGGCTCTGCCTTGGAATACAATTCTTGGTGATTTGAAGAAGGCTCTACCATCTGGTCCTGATACACTGCCTTTTGATGCGTGGGGGTCTTGCTATTAGATAAATGAGTAATAGTAAATCTTTATTGGGGATGGAGGTCCAGCTGCACTAGACAACCTTATGAACCAGTTTATGGAAGTGGATTACCAAGGACTGGTATTTGGTTACTGCTTTTTTGAAGTTCAAAGTTTGCAATAGTCATCTATTGAACTTTTTGATGGATTGGTGGTATGACAGTAAATATCTTTAATCTCACAATTGATCAGGAATCAGTAATTGGTAGCTTCTTTTAGGAGAAAAAATATAGTCGAGACAAAAGGCAGCAAGAGCGGGCCACCCAACAAGTACAAAAGCAAGAATATTTGCAGTAAAGGATTGAGGAAAATTGGGAAAAAATATTCGCTTTACTATGAAGAATATACAAGGAATTTATACAGCATGTAGACTTAAGGAGAATGATGAATTTCCTAAATTCATCACCTAAAACATAGAATTCCATTAATTTAGGAAAGACTATTTCAATGTAATCAGGAAAGATACAGATTCATTCTGGTTTTGAAAATATAGATTTTATGTTATTAAGGTTAATATATGGCTGACCAACATTCTTTTCCACATGGATCAACAAAATGTCTAAAAGGTCTGCAAGATCTTCTCCATTTGAAGAGCATGACCTGTGCACAAATTGCACAAATTCTGGAACCAACAATCTCTGGTCATAGAAAAGTTAGATCCAAGACCATAAAAAACTTTTCTATTACACTCTCCAAATGGTTTGGAAAATAGAGTGAGGGGCTAGGGCAATCAACTTCTTCCTCATTGTCAATCTGGATACCATTGCAGGCAAGTAATTCAAAGAAAACCAGAGTCACTCAAATCCAATAAATGCCCATCAAGCTAGTAACTAAATCCCATAACCTTCTCCCCTCTAGGCATCATAGAAGGAGGTGGTTGGGGAATTCATTTTCGCAAAGACAAAGGGGGGATTGACTGACTACACAAATGCCTCTCTTTCTTTACCCATAACCTTTCCCTAGGGTCACTAAGGAAAGGCTATGCATTTCTAGAGGGGTTCTCAAGGAAACATGTCAAGGATAAGATTATCATGAACTAACATCTTAATAGAGAGATTTTGACGAAGAAATTTCCTTTATAGATGAGCTTCCAGACTGAATTCATTACTATTATGTTGTGTAGAGAACATCCCTAACTGGAATCAGAAATTACGTGTATCCTTTACCTCCTAATCATTAAGGTTATGGATGATGGAAATCTGCCACATCCTCTCCCTTCCATCAACTAAAAGCCGATTCCCAACTTTGGTGG